TGGCTTCGTCGTGGGGGAGTCAGACTTGGTGCGGAACCCCACCGCTCTAACGTTCGTTAGCCTTTGTGAGAAGAAGGCTCGAACTTGAGGGAAAACGATGAGAAATGTTTACTTGAAAAAGGAATACTCTAGCTGAGAAAGAGTGTCCGATTGTTTAATTTAAATAATGTCTCAGTATGTTCTATCCTTAATGTGCGAGTGTTTTATCGTTTCTTTAATAAACTTTTGTATTAACAAAGACATGATTCTCCAGGGAATTCTCAATGAAATACAAAAGATAAGATGGTTTGGTGTTTAGAAAATTGTCTGAAATAATTCAAAGTTTTGATTTCTATGATTGCTTCTGTTTCGTGTTTAAGGATCGATGTGAAGAAACCGAACCATCTCCATGTGTTTTGAACCAAACAGTCAAGTAATGGCTTCGTTGATTGATGCAAGCATATTTTGACTACAATATGTACTTACTTTGTGTTATTTGGGACCAATAGAGAAGATTGGTAAGCTGATTAATGATTTGAAGAAAGTCGACATTTCATTTCATTTGGTTATAATGTGTAAAAACAAATACGTTTTAAAACATTTTTTCTTTGTGTTTGTAATGTTTTGGTCCGAAAGAGCGGATTGGTAAATTGATCAATCACAAGAAAAACGAGTCAGTTGGTTATGGCAGAGATTATGTGTATACCTGTGAATTTTCAATTTGTTTCTATAAATGTGAGTTTGTTCACTATGTTGAGTATCCCACAATGCCAATACATTGTTCATTCTGATAGATCTGAGATTCGTATTGCAACAAATTCGCCGATTAATTGAACACTTTCATGTGTTTGGATAACAAGAACTTGTGGGTTTCAAAATTAACTCACCTCTTCATCGATAAGTAAGCTACAAATTTTTGATGACTTCTCTATTGTTTCAAAGGAGATTTCTTTAGGGCAATGCAAAAGATTGAAAATTTGAATCTATTATTGTTTTTTTTTTCCAGGTGGCTTATGTGTTCTTCAAGGAGGTAGCTTCAAAACTTGTTGGGCATTTAGTGACCGAAGCAGGCTAGTGTATGGGCCAAAAGGCTTGAGAATAATACTCCAAGTCCCACTTCCCTGTTTTATATTTATATATTATGTTCATTACTCATTAGTGAATTTACAAATTGTGAATTTGCAAAATAGTGATTAATTACTATATAGCTATATAGAGTAGAACATTGTAAAAACATTTATAAATTAATACTCAATAACTTGTAGACCGATATAAAATTTCATAATTTGACGTACATCAAACTTTAATGGATATTTCTTGTAAGTTTCGTTTAAACAATAAATACACAAAAAAACAATAAATACACAAGAAATGGGTTGGTGTGTTACAGTATTAGAAGGAATCATTTAAATTATGCTGTTGTGGTTACCATCTGAATTATTGACTTACTTTCTAAGTACAGTAATCACCCTTGTTTATATCGTAGAGACTATAGACCAATATGACAATCCAATAAATGCAAGTATTGACTCAATAATCTTGACTATTATCACACGCTTTTAATAATTTTCTTTTAGAGCTTTGGGCGAGATTTATGGACGTTATAGTCAAAACATTTTCAACACTATCGAACTGTAGGATTTAGCCATTTAGGCATCCCTTATATTAAAAAGCAGTAGAGGAATATAAATCAAATGACTGATGATTTACTTTTTCATTTCAAGTAATAAAAATCAGGTTTTAGC